CAGGAAGAACAGATAATCAGCTGGACTGAGGTGACTTGACTGTGACAGTCAGGAACCTTCAGAGGCATGTGTGGGGCATCCTGATAAAAACAGAAATGACACCAGACCATCCCTAAAAACTGAACCCAGGACCACTGTTATATTTTAAGGTCCTTTCTCTGTGCATGTACTACAACCTGGAATGAAACCCCACATCCTCATAGTCACAGTTCAAACACTTAAATACCTCCCAGTGAACCAGGACTATAATCACTGTAGGGGTCTGAATTACTGTGACTTGCCCTTGAACAAAACTGTTTTTCTTGCTGCTGCTCTGTCAAGTCTGATACACCCCCATTAAATACACACTTTCAAAGTCGGGTCTTGTGCAGAATGGTTTTGTCTGAGTTGTTATTTTTATCATTGTTTATCACTTCTCTGGCTGGGACAGCAGGAAAACAGTTCTTGAGCCGAGTCAGTCACTTTTGTGCAGTTTTTTTCCGCTGAAACTTTAAAATATATGCATGGATGTAGGGCGCTGTCCCAACCTCTTGTTCTCAAGTGCAGCTGAGGACCTTGTTGCATGTCATCCCGTTCTCTGGTTTTGTCTTTAATGAATAAACATGGACATGTGGGACACTGGCCTTGGTGAGATTCAGATGTGCCCTTAAACCTGAGTTAAACCATGACTGCTGCAAGTTTACAACTCATGCAGGTGCAGGATAAACCAGCTGGGTTTAAGTTAAACCACAAATAGTTTAAGCTGCAGCGAAGCTGTTTAAGGTTGAACTGAGCAACAACCACAGGAAGTTTTAAAAACTGCAGCAGCTTGAAGGCTACGAAGATGTTTTTCATATCGTGCCTCTAACTTTGTACTGTACAGTATATGTACAGTAGTAGTAGTCAGATCTTTTGAGTAAAATTAACAGTACCACAGTACAGAAATACTCTGTTAGATGTAAAAGTCCTGCATTGAACATGTTACTTAAATAGAAGTACACAGGTTTTATCAGCAAACGTACTCATTGTGCAGACTGATGTGTCTTCAGAACACTGCATATGGGTGATTTTAATTATCTGACTGTCATCACCACTTTAATGCTGCAGCTGGTGTGGGCGGAGCCAGCGTTCACTACCTTATATGGACCTTTAATAATACATCAGGATTTTTTGCTGATTGTTTTGTTTGATTGATCTGATGAGACCTGGACCTTTAATAATACATCAGGACTTTTTGCTGATTGTTTTGTTTGATTGATCTAAATCTGAAAAAACTAACAAGATAAATGTGGAGTAAAACTATAAAGTATTGTAAAATGGAAATACTCAAAGTGCATGTTCTTTAAAACTGTACTTAAGAGTACTCAAGTAAATGTACTTGCTTTCCAGCACTGATGGTTTACATGTAGTTATGTGTATATTCTTAATTTTTTCTTACACAATCGCTCATGCAAATGTTTGATTTTTCCATTTTTAATTCCTTTTAAAAAACACATACATTAAACACTTTGAAACTGGTTCAGTGTATAAATACTGCTCCATAAATAAACCTGCCTCTCTGTCTTTTGTCCAAGCATCTCCCAACCTTGAAACTGTGAAATGCATTCAAGATTTCTCCAAACCTATGCAGCAACACACACACACACACACACACACAGAGAGAAACACAACCTCTGCTGTGCTGATGACTCTGATAGAGCACAGCACAAATAAAAAAGCTAAGGCAAAGGACGTGCTCTTGCATCTTGGGCTGCTTTTAATGCTGAACATGTCGATCCAGTCCACATCGAAGAGACACAACAAGCACTGAACTACGTATGTGACTCGTGAGCTGGATGTCAACTCCGTGAAAACAGTCTCTGAGCCGAGCGGGTGGATTATTAACTTCGGAAAAACAGCAACTTTCTCTATGCTTTTATTATTATTATTGTCTTTCTCTACACAACTTGTAAGCATACATAATAACGATGCAAGAGCCAGACAGTATCTTCTGCACAGATCCTCCAGGAGAGAACTATGAAAACAACTTAATGAGCCACTTCATGGCGGAGTCGTAAAACAGTAAATTACAAAGGCAGCGGGAAAATTCCAACATATTTACAGTTTGTGTTTTTTTCAGTACAAATTTAAAGGTGTGTTTGATGTCTGTGGTTAATAGAGGGACCGTTTCAGACACGTTGAACCAGCAGCTTACAGTTAGGCTTGGCCACTCCCACGGGGGAGGACGAGGGCGGGGTCGGCTCAGGGGCTGACGGCCAGGTACTCGGACCGGGCTGCTGACCCATGTGTCTCTTCGATCTGAGGCTCCTCAGGAGAGCCGGGTGGCGCCTGGGCCTGCTCCGACTCCTTCTTGTCCAGTTCTTGCTGAGTCTGAATCTTCAGGATGAGCTCTTTGATCTCCTCACGCTTCGTCTTCATCCTCTGCTGAGGAAACCAGTCCGACAGGTTGACCTTCAGGTGAAAACTGGTAATTGGATTCTGTATGAAAAGATGAAAGAAGACAGATTACTTTTAAAGGAGGCTGGAGAACATGAAACTCCAGAAGGACCCATATTAAAGGATTAGTCTGAAGATATTCTTTGTCTGTGTCCAGTTCCCTCCTCTTTGTATGATTTAAAGCTGCAGTGAGCAGCTGTTTTAGGAAGTTACTGATCCTTCCTTTTAAAATCCTTCTATGCAAGTTGGCAGTTTATTAGAACACCACGCTAAAACTAATGCAGTCTAATAAAACAGTCCTGCATCAAATCCTCCTTCATGATGTGATAATGCTCAGTCTTTATTCAAAATGTTTTATAGAGGTGGTGATTCAGCTGAAAAAGGACCAAAAACATAGTCTTTTAAAATCTTTTTAAATTATTTGTGAATCCATTTAACCAGTAAAGTCAACTGAGCAGGAAACTTCATACTTAAACAACATGGAAGAAAATGGAATACAAACAAGAAAATGCAAAGTCAACAAAGGAGGTAAAAAAAAAAAACTGCAAATAAAAGCAGGGAAAACTAAGCAGTAAAAGCAAACAGTGATGTTTGGGAGGATGTTTCATTGGGTTCCTCCTCTCACCTCGAAGAAGCTCTCCACATACTGTAGGACGTAAACTCCACAGTCGCTGAAGTTATCCTGCTGAGGCACACGTGGGCTGGAGCCCCTCATCACGTCCTTCCCAAAACTCCGCTGAGTCCCTTTACGCACCTCCCACTCCACCTCCAGGTACCTAAAACAAACAGACACACTGTTACTCTACAGCAGCACTGCTTGTCCTCCTGAAGTACTCAGTACCAATAACTTTACTCCGAGTTACCCGTCCCTTAGTCTGGGTATGTCCTGTAAGTGTGACTGGTCTATTTTTTCAGAAGTATTTTCCACAAATACAAATGAAAACAACCTACAAGCTCCTTTATACCACCAATGTTTGGAGCAGTTAAAGATTTAAACACCCTGCTCTCTCTTTGTAACGGTCGGGGGGTGTCTATATGATGAACCTATTATGTCAGTCCAGTCCATGCTGTTTCCTGGTCTCATATTTGCTTCCAAGGTGCCACGACTGCACCTGCACCTACAAGAAAATCAAGCAAAGCTGTGGCGGCATCTGGACATGATGAAGTGTCTCTGAACCGGTAAACTGGGACCTACCCTACCGGGCATGAGCGCCGACTCTGTGCACAATCAAGGGTTTTGGTGTCAGATAACAGAAACTAGTCTGTGGAAGTGTTGTAACCTGCACTGGCCCTTCTGTACAACAAATGCTGATTTACAGCAGGAACTCACTCTCTCAGAGTTTTGATCACAGTCGACCGGGTCGGACCTCGCAGCGAGTCCATGATGAGAATACATGGCCTACAGGAAGGAGCAACACATCTGTTATTCAATATCTGAGGTCAAAGAAGGATATCATAAATCATTTTTCCACATAGGCCCTGAATAATATGTTAAATCTGGGACAAAGTACATGAACACCCATAAAAAGGTGTTTCCACTAAAAAGACCGTCATGTATTTAATAGAAAAGCCTCCTGGGTCAAACACCTGAAATACGTCAATGTTAAATTCTAGGCCAGGAAGTATTTCTCACTTCATCTCCAAAACGTCATATAAGCTCAGTATTATTATCCTAATCCAATGTGACCTCGGGAGACTCGCTGGCTTTTCCCAGTGTCATGTATCAACCTGGTGAGGTGAGAACAGTGAGCCCCACTGACCGACAAATCAACATAAGCAGGGCAGCAGCGCCCCCTCTGGGTGAGAAGGCAGAGGTGCGTCCACTCACTGTTTGCAGATGGTCGGTTTGGAGGCCAAACCCGAGGCGTCCGAGCCGAGCGTGTCGTCAGCCAGAGCCCCGTCCTCACTGCACTCATCCTGGACACACAGGCGGAGGAACATTCACTAACATCAACTTCACATGAGGATTTTTTATTACTGCTTCAGTTACAGCTTCTTCACACATGATGAGCCGAGTACCTGACAGGAGCTTTGGCCATCAGAGAAGGTGTAAGTGTCATCGTCTCCTTTTCCTGAACCGTAACAAACACTGATTCTGTGCAACTCGCCTAAAAATCACAACAACAAACAAAACTCCATTAATGTTAATTCAAGCTGTTGAACAGCCTCCTCTCCCACCGTCCAGCGCGCCAGCAGGGCGACCACAACACACCAGGAGTTCATACCCGAGCTAGAACAAGGCTGCACATCGCAGCGCTGTCTGCAGCACGGTGTGCTGCATAAGAGCTGTGCAATGTGTTTTTATTCTGATCGACTTTCATCACAGATCCTGAACAAAGGAGACGACTGCTCTACCCACTGCACCACTGTCACGTCCCCAAAGACATTAAAATGTGACTCTTCCAACAAAAACATGTAGTGTAGTTTTCCATCAGCGTGGGTCAGCCTGCTTTAATCGAACCAGGCAGGCACAGGTCGGCCTACGTTTCCATCTGTTTCTAGCAGCAGGTGGCAACGGTGCTGACTCGGGCTCAGCTGAACCCGTTTCCACCCAGCTGGCCCATTGAGACACGTGATTGGCTGAAATGTTGTGCTGAACGTCCTTACACGTTTAGCATCGACCTTTTATCTGTTATTTCACTGCATCCATATTTGAAAATGGGAGCCCCTCACCTCCGATGAGAGGTGAATGCCTAAGACTAAGGGCTACATGCTGCAACCTGATAACACCACACTGACATCGCAAGTCGTGTCGCTTCTCAGTGGCTGGCGCCGCCCCCAATGTGAAATGATGCAGAAGATAAACAATGCGTTTTATGGTGCAGTGGAAACACAGCTCAGTTCCACTGCGTGCAACACAGGTGGGCAGGGCTGAACTGTACTGATGGAGAAACGCTGTAGGCTGGTGTGGGAGGTGAATGTGGAGCGCTGCTCTGTAGGTGAGCTGAACTGACACATTATCATAAGCCTTCGCCTTACAAAGATGGCAGGGGCACTTTAGAGCAGCAGCTCTATAGAAGGTGCTCCTGCTTGGTCAGCGAATCAGGAGCTATCTGACCAGAGAAACAGGATCATGCATGTCACCAGACGATGTCAGCTTTTGCTCCTTGATGTTATGGCAGTGAAAAGCCCAGGGTGTCCATCACCAAGTGTCAGACTAAAACTCACTTGTGTACTGTTGCTCAGTGTCACCCTGGCTGTTGCTAGATGCTACAGGGGGGTTGGAAAGCTCTTGCCCCCCTTCCGTGAATGAGCTCTCCTTGGTGACGTCGACGCCGGGCTGAGCCTCCGCAAACGCCTCAGGGTCGCCGGGGGACAGCTGCTCCGAGGAGCTGTCCAGATCGTCTCCGTCTGGGGACAGAGGACGACAGTGGTCTGGGATGTTCTCTTCTGACTGAGGGTCTGAGGTGGTGGAGGCTGGCAACGAGTCCTGATACAGCGGGTTCGGCTCAAACACCGGCCCCTCAAGGCCCGGGAAGCAGATGACTGCCAGGTACCAGTGGGCTCTGGAAAATAAAGGTTTAAATTAGTTTCAGTGGTTTTTGAAAAGCAGAGCAGGAGATGAATCAAATTCTATGAAGACTTACGACTCATTGATGGGAACAAAAATGAAGTCCTTCTGGAACAAGTCCACGTGCCGAGTCCACGTCTTCACCCTGTTGTGCTTCCTCTTCTGGAGTCTGAAAAAGCAAAACTGAACGTGAAAACATCTGAACAGACTGTGATGTTAAACCGTCATCTGCTGATGGAGCAGGACACTCACGGCAGGTTTGTCGTGTCTGGAATATTCCTGTGCTCTCGCTGGTTCAGCCTCTTGTAGAAGAAGGAGCTGAACACATGGATTCTTTGTGCATCTTCTTTTTTCAATTTCTCTAAAACTAAATATCTTAACACACAAACAATGGAACAGCTCATGTCACTATGAAAACCCAAGGTTTCCCTGCACTGATACTGAAAATAAACACTGATGTTTCTACTGCACTGTGTTTGTGTTATGTGAGATAATCAGCTACAAGAGACCAAAACACTCACTTTAAATAAAAGTCTATGATAACATCGTTTAGGAACTCTCCATCGTTAAGGCAGTGGAGGTCTTCATTAGTGACCGATATGCCGCCTTTGGCTGGAGGAGGAGGATACACCATTAATCTGGAAGACACACATCATTAAGCGTTAGACTGCAGTGTCACAACACAACACAACACAACGCCCTCGCCAGCAGTGCCACTGCCAGCACTGAGGGTCAGTCTTCTGCTGTTTGACTCAATGTGTATCAGATGCAAAACTTCCAGGTATTAAAATGACAGATTCTTCAGTCTGTAGCAGGACAGCAACACACCTGATCGTTTACATTTAAACACTGTGATACACAAGAACAGGTCTTACATTTTTGTTCATTATGTGTTGAAGGCATCACTAGATTCAGATGTGTCTGAAAATCCAGTGAAATGATTTCTTCTTCATTCCAAGGGCTACTTAGTGACACTACTGCCAAGTTAATTGCAGCAGAACAGCTTCATGTCTATGTTTACTCTTGATCAGGTGGCTCCTGACTTAAACCATAATGTTTCCACTCTTCGTTAAACCTCCTGCACGGCTGCTGAGGGGCTTGGACACATTCTGAACATCTGCAAACTCCAGGACTGTATCGGCCTGTGTTTGAGAAACCGACACCTGGCCTGCAGGTGATAACGGAAGCACTCACTTGACGATTGGTCCCGAGAAGGTAGGCTGGAGGTCGGTCATGTCCTCGTCTTCTTCTTCAAAGTATGTGCTGGTTTGCTGACGAGTGGCCATCCGTGTACGTGCAGGCATGGTGAGCGATGTACCCAGAGTGCCCTGCGTGAGTGGGGAGACTTTGCCGACTGGAGTGGAGGCCTGGGTGATTCTCAGAGAAGTTTGTAGTGGTTTCCCCTGCACAGAGGGAGGTAAAAAGAACTTATTTAATTGATAAACAGCTCCACTAGAAACATGAAAAATTTGTCAAACACACCCAATAACTGCAAAATTCAGAGGGCTGTATTTTTTAAGGTTCTTGGGCACCACTGTGTTATATCTCCAATTCAGAAACACTTTGATTAAAATCCAAATGCTGCCACAAACAAATTTCCTTTAACTGTATGTTGAGGCTTTTGCTTCCCTTGAACTCGTCTTCTCAGGCTTTTGCTCCAACCAGGCGCCTCTGAAGTTACAAAAACTCAACCATTTTGAATTTAATTCCCAAGTTAGGACAATGAGTTTAATGGAGCTTCTTGGCAGTGCTGCACAGCATCAAAATCAGAATCAGCTTTATTGGCCAGGTGTGTCGGACACACGAAGAATTTGACTCTGGTACATCGGTTCTCAATGTGTATGTACATGTCCCCATGCAAGGGGCAAGCAAACAGTAAACCAGCATAAGGCTGTAATATAACAAAATAAAGTGCAAACAATGGAAAATAAACAGTACAAACAGGCAGTAAACAATGCAGACAAAGGAATGCTCATTGTGAAATGAGGTAAGTAGGAATATAAACAGAGTACTTAAAACTAGAGACCTGTACAGATCTGTATAATCTGTACAATGTATATTTACAGGTGTTGCACTGAGGGTTATTGTCCAGTCATATGGTCATTGGTTAAGTGTTCATCAGAGTAACAGCCTGGGGGAAGAAACTGTCCCTGTGCCTGGTTGTCTTAGTGCACAGTGACCTGTAACGCCGTCCAGAGGGGAGGAGTTCAAACAGATTGTGCCCAGGGTGTGAGGGGTCAGCAGTGATCCTCTCCACCCTCCTTTTGACCCGTGAGGTGTACAGGTCCTCCATGGAGGACAGGCTCACACCAGTGACCTTTTCTACAGTCCTGACTGTCCTCTGAAGTCTGTACTTGTCCTGTTTGGTTGCTGATCCAAATCAGACAGTGATGTGTAGAGTGTAGAGAACAGACTCAATGATTCCTCTGTAGAACTGTATCAGCAGCTCCTGGGGCAGGTCGAACTTCCTGAGCTGGTACAGGAAGTACATCCTCTGCTGCGCTGATCTCCCTTGTCAGTGTGTTCCTCGCCTGGCTGTACAGTGTTTTGTCCCCACTTCTGTAAGCCTCCTCTTTGGCATGACGAAGCTGCTTGAGTCTTGCTGTAAACCAGGGCTTGTTGTTGTTGTTGTATGTGCATGAGGACTTTTTGGGCACACACACATCCTCACAGAAACTGATATAAGATGTGACAGTGTCAGTGAGTTCATCCAGGGCTGTAGCTGCAGACTCAAATCCACTCCAGTCTGTGCAGTCAAACCAGGCCTGTAGCTCTGACTTGGCCTCCTCAGTCCAGCTCTTCACTGTTTTGACTACAGGCTTTGCAGCTTAAAGTTTCTGCCTGTAGGTTGGAATAAGATGGACCATACCGTGATCTGAGTCCGAGGGCTGCGCGGGGGACAAAGTGATAGGCGTCTTTTATTGTTGTGTAGCAGTGGTCCAGTGTGACTTTGTCCCTGGTGGGACAGGTGACGTGCTGTCTGTATTTGGGCAGTTCGTGGGTGAGATTTGCTCTGTTCAAGTCCCCTAGAACAATGAGTGGAGAGTCGGGGATATTCTAGGGTCTGAACACCTGGAAGCCCAGTACTTTTAACGCGCTGTCCGCGATCGAGTCGCTCAGCCAGGTCTCCGTGAAGCACAAAGCAGCAGAGTGTGCAAAGGCAGTTAGTCCTGTTGACAAGAAGAATTTCATCCATCTTGTTGACCAGGGAGTGGAGATTTGCCAGGTGGATAGACGGGAGTGGAGTCCGGGTACCTCACTGGCGTAGCCTCACCAAGGCGCCCACAAGTCCGAGCAGAGCCTCCCAGACTTCCTCTCCCCACACACCTCCTCTAGCTCCTCAGGAGGAACCCCAAGGCGTTCCCAGGCCACCCGGGAAACATAGTCTCTCCAACGTGTTCTGGGTCTGCCCTGAGGCCTTCTCCCAGAGGGATATTCCCGGAATACCTCCCCAGGGAGGCGTCCAAGGGGGGCATCCTAAACAGGTGCCCGAGCCACCTCAACTGGTTCCGCTCAACGTGGAGGAGCAGCGGCTCTACTCTGAGCTCCTCACAGGTGACTGACCCTATCCCTAAGGGTGCGCTCAGCCACTCTGAAGCTGTACAATTACATTGAATTCAGGGGGAAAAGTGACAACCCACCGTACAAGCTAGCAGCTAGTGCTGTGATTAAATCTAAATACAAACCCTAAACTAAAAGGGGAATAAATTCCACACAGAACCTTTAATGTATTTAGATTATTAGTTTGAGGTACGACTTTTTAGTACTAGTAATTTCTGTTTTGAAGCTCAGCCCCACGGACCAGCATGGCTCCCGTGCAGCGCTCACCTTCTCCTTCGATGCCTTGTTGTAGTTGACCAGTCGGATGTTGGCCTCGTCAAAGTTCAGCTTCGTGGGGAAGTTGCTCAGGTTGTTGGACCTGCCAATCTCACCCAGGATGTCCTCAAGGATGACCTGTTCCTTCATCGGCAGGCCATTCTCGAAGATCAGAACGATGTACTTCTCATCCGACTCTGGCAGCACAGAACGCAATGTCGGAGCAGAGAATTAATTTCACTGCTGAATAAGCCAAACACGTAATATTTCTAACAAATAATCACACTGAGTTTTTGGTTGTTTTGTTACATTCAAGAAACTTCGACTTAGGTGATTTACCACCTTCATCTCTTCTATATGAAAAGCTGGAGCTTACTATGATCAAGTTCACCTTTAACAAACAGCTCATAATGAACCTCACAAAGGATTTTTACTTTCAATAGTTAACTACTGCCCCGTGCTTCATCAGCTGGTTTTGTGCTGCATACCAAGAAGTCCCATTTTATACAAGCCCTTCTACTTCTTCATGAGTTTTCATTTAACCATGCTGCATTACCTAAGAGCACACAGAGCACGCTGTCTATTCTCCCTGCTGATGAGGTTTTACCATGAAGGGAATTCGTGTTAAAGAGCTATGAAATCTCAAGGTAAAATAGTTGACGTGCCAGTATTCATTTATAGGCCGTACAAAAGGGCTGCCACGTGTCTGCGCTGTAGTCAGTCTGCTGTTTGACGGAGCTGTCAGCAGCAGGCTGCAGATCAGTCTGTCACTTTTCTTTGCTTACAGGCATAAACTACACATTAAACACAGTCTTCTACAGTGAAATTGTGAGGAAGCATAAAAAAGATAAGTTGATCTTCCTTTTGTCAGAGTTCAAATGATTGTGAGGAGAAGCTGATTTTCATGTTACTACAATGTATGTCAAAGAAACACATTTAGAACAAATCCTGAGTTTCCTTTGAGCCATTTTGGACCAACTCTAACACCCTGAATCAAAACAAAATCCTCAAATGTGAACTGAAGTCAGGTTTTCTACTCACGGTCTCCAGCGCAGTCGTACCACTCGCCTCCCTTCTCCTTGGACATGTTGAGCTGTGCCCGCAGGCGACTGCACTCCTCCGGCGTCGTCTGGAAAAACAAGACGGGAAGCTTGCGTACGTTGCACCACTCACAGCTGATCAGCTCTGATGCCTGAAGACAAACTTCTACGCTGTCGCAATTGGGGCCTGATGGAAAACGAACGAATCAGACTCGGCCACATTTTATTCAGTCTCTGCATAAATGATCAAAATTTAAGGTCTTTAATTTAAATCATAAAACAGCGGAATAAACTAAACTTACTACACATTTGACAAACTACACCAAAGATAAATGCTTTACAAAATCTGACACGAAATGTTGACGTAACTATGATTACTGTCCCTCTGCAGATGAATGCAGTCATAGAGAAGGATGTTACACAGAAGTGTACAGGGTTGATCTGAGCTAAACACAAAACTGCGCAGGTGCAGCCAAGACATTCCACTGATGTCTGATGGCTTGCATTCACTGAATTCATTGCTGCTGGTTCATACCTTCAGTTTCCAGCTGGATGTGGTCAACGGAAAACTGAAAAGACAAAGAACAAAGCAGGTAGTCCATCATTTCCGTTCCCATTTTTGTTTCCCATAAAAGTCCGGGTTGCTGTATTTCCAAATAAGAGGAATAAAGTACTCACAACGACAGGTTTCGTCACCATCCTGCGCAGAGTTCCCACTCTGACGCTGCGACATTCCAGGATGATGCTGTCACACTTATCAGGCACGACTTTGGGCTTTTTTGTCCTGGGAGAAAACTCCTCCGGAGGCTGAGATCCAAGCTGCAAAAAGAAATGTGACTTCAGGAACAGTATGAGGTGTTCACGTTTCTCTGTTACACTGGTTTTACTTCATAACACAGTGAAGTGTAGAGGACTCAGAATGAAGCACAGGATCAGCGAGTCAGGGTTTCCAATCCCAGTAAACTCCAAAGACACGCTGAAAAAACCCTAATAAGCTTCACATAACTGACAAAACATCTGACAACTTGCGCTTTTACTTCACAGCTTACAAATCACTACTGCCTCCTCAAGTACACTGGGCCTCCAGGTGTTGGTTGGCTACTGGCAGGACACCTAGAGCCTTACCTGATCTTTTATCCGACCTTTCCGAGGTATCGTGACCTTCATGTTCACATCTTCAAAGAATTCCTCAGCACCGACCTCCTCCTGCTCTTCCGTGCTCTTCACCGCCGCCTCCACTCTGCCTCCAGAGGGTGCCGGGGAGGAGTGAGCCGAGTCCGCAGGGCAAGGGGACATGCTGTCCAACCTGTTACCACTTCCTGTGCTGGCGTTGTCAGCCTCCTCCTCATCATCACTGGACAGAATGACTGGGAAAGGAGGTTTAGAGAATGGCTGTAATGTTGACGTTCTGCCTGAATGTTAGGTGTTGATGCAGCTGAATGATTATTACAGGAGGCAGTTTTTCTGTTAAGCACAGTATCAGAGGCTCCAATATATGAGTCCTGTCAGCAACACAAGCTGGCACCGCTTGTACATGTTGTCTAGGTGTCACACGCTGTGATGCACTTGAGTTCTACAGAGGGTTGTAAAGACCAAAACAGAGAAATGTTGAAAGATTTAATGTTCATGAGTCTGAGTCAAGTCTGGAGGCAGTTAGGGGTGAATTGTGGGTCAAGTCGGAAGTCTGTTTATGTGGGACTTGACAGCAACTTGCATGCAGAAAAAGCACTTATTACCAAATGGAACAGCCATCTGGAAAGAAGGTTACGTAAAGACCGACATCACTGGTTGTAGACGTTCCTACCTCGTCATTTACTGTACCAGTAACTGGCATCAGTATTTCAGTGAGGTGTAACAGGATAAAGACTACAGGGCCAATCAAGGACTTAAGGCAGAAGTACTTCTTTTTACTTACTGGGGTCGTTGAGCTCGTGCTGCCGGGCCGCCGTCGTCCTCTTCCCCTTGGGGGGGTTCCTGGCTCCACAGCAGCTCGACGTCCCAGCTAGCAGAGGCAACTTTCCGTTGTTCACCGGGACCACGTTTCCTCTGGTGCTCACGATTCGGGGAGCCCTAATGGTCGTGGCCGGCTTGTAGAAGTTTTGCTGCAGGGCGTTTGGTCCAGGGGAGGGCTGGGATCTAAGGGGGGCACGGGGGGTCGGGGATGGCAGCGTGGCCTGCTGACCGGGCAGCACAGCCAGACTGCTTCCACAGTTCTGACACTTACTGCTGTCTTCGCTCAGCTTGTCGCATTTCACACACACTGACTGACAGATGGTTGGCCGAAGAGGCTGCCAAAGACAAACACTTGTTATGTTGACGGGACCAGGCAACAAGCTCAGGATCACAAACTTTAAATGTGTTATGGCTAATAACTGCCCGTGTAGAAGACACAGAAGAACATGATCACCTCCCTGGTGGTGGTGTTTCTGTGCACCTGTTATGGCCGATCTTCACTCTGTCTCCTAGCTCTAATATCTGGCTAGATGTGGGATGCTACCTCTGGGGCTGTGACTGGTTTATGTATATTTACTTTGAAAAGCCCATCGTTGTGTTATGTGTGAGACTATTTCTGGAGAGCTACATGACAAACTTGCAAATGATCAAACCATAAAACCTCCTCAGCAGCAGGAGAGAGCTCCCTCCTGAGAAGGCCAGATGCTCAATCGTGTCCAGCTCAGACAGAGAAGATGACATCAAGCCTGGTACGAAGGCAGACTTTCTGACATGGCATGATTTCTGGGTAATAAATTCCTTCATGCTGCCATTTGTCTTACCTCTGTGGATTTGATCTGTGAGGGGAAACTACAGCAGC